TTTTGTTTTTTTTTTTTTTTTTTTTTGGTACTGGGGATCAAATTCGGGTCCTTGCGCTTGCAAGGCAGGTGGTGGAACCACTGAGTTAAATCCCTGGCCCCATTATGGTTCTTATTAGTTTAGAGCACAAATTCTGGGTCGAGAATGTTTTCAACAATTTTCAAGAACTTTAAAAATGATTAATCTTAATAGTCTACTGAGTTTTCTGTGCAAATGATTGTCATCTACAAATAAGAAGATTGTCTTCCAATTCTTTTTAGTTTTTTTTTGTTGTTGTTGTTGCTTGTCTTATTGTTTAGCCACTGTTCCTAGGGACTGTGTTAAATAGTTGCAGCAATGTCACATTGCTTTTCCCCTTTACATATGATGTTTGCTGTTTATCACACTTAGTCAATTCCTTTCTAGTCTTGTATTCAAGATTTTTATTGAACCTTATTAAAACCTTCAAATACTTTTCTTGAGCCAGTCACGTAGAAAAGTTCAGTTTTTTCATTCTTTAGTGGTGAGTGATGTTTCTGGATTTTTTGATGTCCAGCCATCTTTGATTTCTCTGATGAATCCTAATTGATCATAATATATTTGTTTGTATATAATATTGGATTTGGTTGGTAAATATTTAGGATTTTGCATTTTCTTTTATGTACTTGCCTTGTTCTAGTTTTGATAACAAAATTCTCTTGGCTTTACAAATGAGTTGGATACCTTTCCCTGTTTCTTTTTTGTTCCTTTAATTTTTCTAGAGAAGTTTGTATAATGTAGGTACTATCTGCTCTTGAAACTTTGGTAGTAAAGCCACCAGAGGTTTGGAATGGGTGAAGGTTGCTTTTGATGCTATCCTAATTCCTTGGATTTCTCTTTTCTTTTGTTTCTAAAAGTTTATGCTCTTTATCTTAGCCATTTGAGTGCTTGTCTTTCTGTTTCCAAATTATTTTAACAGTCTTTTCAAAAAGCCATGATTGCTGTACTTGAACTATTTTATTGATTTCTTCTTGATTTGGAGGATTTTATTTTTTTCTGATACTTTAAATGTTTGTGTTGGGGGAGTATTAAGGATCAAACCCAGAGTCTTCATGCTGAGCTACATTCTTGGCCCTTTTTTGTTTATGTATCTATCTTTTTCATTTTTTTCTTTTTTTTTTTTTTGAGTCAGAGTCTGACTAAGTTACTGAGTTGCCCAAGCTGAACTCCAACTCAACAGTTCTCCTGCCCCAGTCTCCAGGGTGCACTACCACACTAGGCTTAGCCCATATTTATGTGTATTCACAGCTATGTTAAAGATGCAATGCTTTCACTTTCTAGCTCTTAGTATTTTGTAATATTCCATTTATTTAATGTAGAATTACTTTTATTTTTAATTTCCAGGCATGAATTTATTTTTTTAACCATTTTATATTTTCAAATGTTACTAAGTGATGTTATTAAGGAGATACCCACAATCTGAGATGTTCTTTCTAGATTTTTTGCATCCTTTAATGCTGATACCAGCTTAATTCTTGTTCCTTCTGGGTGCTCTGCTTTTCTCTATCAAAGTTTTTGTAATTTTTTTTCTTTATTGTTGGGCATTTAACATTTTGTTTCTAGATTGAATTTTTTTATCCAGCCTCTTGACCATTGTATATCTGAGCACTTAATCTTTCATTTTTATCATAAATTTTAAATTTATTTGTAATGCTAGGCATCAAACTAAGGGCATGGTACATGCTAGGCAAGTGCTGTACTGTGGGCTACATTGTCAGCCCCAGGTCTTAATAACATCTTTTAAATTCCGAGAAATCATCAGTTTTCATTTTTTCATGTATTTCTGTTTATTTCTACTTTTCTGGGACTGCTTAGAGATGGACGCTGACACACAATGGTGCTCCATATAAGCTCTCTTCATAGTAATATATACCAAGGATGAGGAGTTCAATCAGTCACTGTCCTATAGCTGTCATTTCCCTGTATTCTGCCTATCGGGGAACCTCAGATAACTTCACAGCAGTTACTCAGCTTGCCATCTTGGAAACTTTGTAGCCTACCAGATAAGGAATGAAGTGCCATGTTGACATTTCCAGTTATCAGAGCTGTCCAGCAGGTACCTTGCTCTCTTCAGCTGTTGCTGGCACTGCTGCTTTCCTGCCACAGAGTAGGCTTGGGGTAGCCTATGATCTAAGCATCATAGAGGGTTGGAGAGAGAGTAAAAGCACAACTATAAAGTTATTCCTCAGTCTAACCCTGTGTGTAAGTTGTCAGTGTATAGACTATTGAGTGCATTCATTTCTCTTCCATGATGGCACTCTGTTGCCTTCTGCTTCCTAGGAATTTCTCACCATTTTTGAATTAGTTTCTGTAATTCAGATCTTGCCTCTTAGGAAGTATCTGCGGGGTTATATTGGAAAGGAAGATGATTTGCATCCTCTTGAATTTGATAAGATGCTTCATAGTGGCTTTTGTGCATTTTATTATCTAGTAAACACCTGTAACCCAAAGTTAGAATGATTTAGCTAGAAAATGTAAATGGTATATTCTTTCCTCTCTAGGATTTATAAGAGCTGAGCATCATTAGAAAATTATTATTCTGATTTTCCCATAACCTATCTGAAAAAAGATTTTATCTATTAAGAATTTATACTCTTGAAGGAATAGAAATTAGCTCAAAATAGGCTTTTTATTTGTAAGTCTAAGATGATATATTAGAGATCTGTTTTCTTTAAAGTTGCTGTTTTGTTTTGTTTTTCTTATTTAGAGTGAAGATGAAATCAGGACCCTGAAACAGAAAAAAAGTAAGTGATAATGTTAATGACTCAACTTCTGAATGCCTTTTAAAAAGGCCTTGATATGGTAAGGACAAATAAATACGTTTTATGTCCAAAAGCTACCTTAAGAATGGATGTAAGAGTGTGGTTGGCTTTGTCCTATGGTCTGGAATTAATCTGTGACTAAAGTCTTAATTTGGCTTGTCTTTGTCAAGTGCTGCTGTGCCACACATTTTGTTATGTGCAGGCCTCAGAAAGGTCACTGCTCCCTTCTACATTCTCTGAGTGTGGTAGGGGTGGCACACTAACAGTGTCCCAGTATAGGAAAAGAAGAGTAACAGCAAGGGTAGGTATTACATCTCTGTCCATCCAGCTTTGGGTACATAAGACCTTGGTAAATGTTTAAGGAATAAAAGCTGTGAGGCACTTGGCACATTGGGCCACAATAGTCTTTTGTAGGTGCTGATACCAGGCTGTGTTACTGAAGGATAAGGGCTAGAAGTTGTTTTTATTCTTGTTGTCAATTATTACTTCTGTTCCTCTTGTGTCTCCTCCTATTGCTGTTGTTATTATTAACATAACCTTTTATTGATGCTAAATCATTCTAACTGCTTTAAAATATTAATTCATTTAATTTTTTATAATAGCTTTTGATATCTAGTTCTTTTATGAATGAGGAGAAGAAAGAAGGGAAAGGTACTCTATACAAAGGTAGAATGTCATGAAACAGGGTGCTCGATAGGGGAAACTATCCTCATTTTGATGTTGGAGTTTCTGATAGCCAGTGATGCCTAGAAAGTAAACTCAGAGGGAACCGCAGCAGACTTGCAGGACTATGGGCTGTTGGCAGTCAGAACAGTTGAAGGGTTTGTAAGTACAGTGGTGCCTCAGTTCAGGAGCTCAGTTCTCTCCACAATTCTGGTCACAAACAACTGGACAAAAATTGAATCAAATTTCCCCATAAGGTCAACATTGAACCTAACTATTGAATTGATTTAATTCTTGTCCAACTCAGTTTGCAACCAGAATAATGGAATGACTCATATTCAAATGAAACTCCCTGGGAAATTTTGTAGGGCTCAGCTCATTACCACTGTAATGACATGAACCTCAGGTCCATTTTACATAGAGCTCTTTATTAGAATAAGAAGCATAACACTGCAGTCATGAAGGCCAGGGAACTTGTAAATGGATCGATGGCCTACACATAGAAGGATGTCCAAAAGGAGGGGGATTGGTTTTTCATTTTGTGTGCTTTGTTCTGTAGTGAGCAATCTTTTTGAAAAAAACAAAGCAGTATAATTAGTACTTATTAATTGGAAGTGGAAAAGTAATGGAGGACAAAGGGAAGATAGGAAGGAGAGAGTAAGACTGTCAGGCAGCATCCAAGATAACCTCTTGCTTTGTAGAAGTTTCAGTCCATAGTCAGCTGGCTCCAAGGTAGGGAAGCATGATGGAGGTGACTTGCTTATGGCATAGCAGTGAAGCAGAGTGAGATCAAGGGAAGTGGAAGGGAGATACCCTTCTAGGCCACAACCCCAGTGACTCACTTCCTCCAAGTGTCACCTTTCAATGTCAGTTTTAGATTAACTCATGAGTAGATTAGTCCACTGATTATCACGCCCCCATGATCAAGTCACCTCCCCACAACTCCACCTATGAGTACATGAGGCCTTGGGGAACATCTAGTTAATAAAACCATAACACCCAGTTAATACTATATTGATTTGGTGGCCCTCTCTAATTTTATTTTAAGAATTAGGTTCTAACTGATTTTTTAATTTAGATTCTTTTCCTGTAGCCACCACTGATCTATATACTGAACAGGACATTTAATCTGTAGAGCCTCACTTTTCCCATCCAATACGAAAAGAGTAGGCAAAAATTTCTAATAATCACCCTAAATATTGCATGAATCTATGTTATATTGGTTTCTGTGTCTATATAAAAGTGTGTAGGCTTTGGAGCCAGACAAGCTTAGACTTGATTTCACTTCTGTCTTTCTAATTGAGTTTGTATCCTTGGGCAAGTTATTTACTGTCCTCATTTGCCAAGTGGATTGATATCGTATGCCTGAAAATGTCAAGCACAGTGTCTTCAGTAAATCTTACTTCTCTTCACCTTTGTTTTCTGAGGGCAGGGACTATCTGTCATTGTTCTGAATAATATATGAAATACCTTGCTAGATTATTAAAAAATTGTTCCTACTTTATTTAGATGTGGGATAAAAATATGGTTACAGTGTTTGTTTCTCCCATTAGTATCTTTATTTTAATTTCTATATCCTACTCTGTGGTCATTAGATGCCCTGTGAATGGTGAATGAGTGTGGATTTTAAATATTTAGCATTCAAAAAAATAACTGTTTTTGTTTTGTGCAGTTCCTCATTAGTCTGTTTATAAAATTAACTCTTTATGTTTTTCAGTTGATGAAACTTCTGAACAGGAACAGAAACATAAAGAAACAAACAATAACAATGCTCAGAATCCCAGTGCTGAAGTGCAGGGGGATGAGCAGGATGAAGACATTTTACCTTTAACCCTGGAAGAGAAGGAAAACAAAGAATACTTAAAGTCTCTATTTGAAATTTTGATTCTTATGGGAAAACAAAACATACCTCTAGATGGGCATGAGACTGACGAAATCCCAGAAGGTCTCTTTACGCCTGATAACTTTCAAGCTTTGTTGGAATGCCGGATAAATTCTGGCGAAGAGGTTCTGAGAAAGCGCTTTGAGACCACAGCTGTTAACACCTTGTTCTGTTCAAAAACACAGCAGAAACAGATGCTGGAGATCTGTGAGAGCTGTATTAGGGAAGAAACCCTCAGGGAAGTGAGAGACTCACACTTCTTTTCCATCATCACTGATGATGTGGTGGACATAGCAGGAGAAGAGCACTTGCCTGTCTTGGTGAGGTTTGTTGATGAATCTCATAACCTGAGAGAGGAATTTGTGGGCTTTCTGCCTTATGAAGCTGATGCAGAAATTTTGGCTGTGAAATTTCACACTACAATAACTGAGAAGTGGGGACTAAATATGGAGTATTGTCGTGGCCAGGCTTATATTGTATCCAGTGGATTTTCTTCTAAAATGAAAGTTGTTGCTTCTAGACTTCTAGAGAAGTATCCTCAAGCTATCTACACACTCTGCTCTTCCTGTGCCTTAAACATGTGGTTGGCAAAATCAGTGCCTGTGGTGGGGGTATCAGTTGCGTTGGGAACAATTGAGGAAGTTTGTTCTTTTTTCCATCGATCACCACAACTACTTTTAGAACTTGACAATGTAATTTCTGTTCTTTTCCAGAACAGTGAAGAAAGGGGTAAAGAATTGAAGGAAATATGTCATTCTCAGTGGACAGGCAGGCATGATGCTTTTGAGGTTTTAGTGGACCTGTTACAAGCACTTGTTTTATGTTTAGATGGTATAAATAGTGACACAAATATTAGGTGGAATAACTGTATAGCTGGCCGAGCATTTGTACTCTGTAGTGCAGTAACAGATTTTGATTTTATTGTTACCATTGTTGTTCTTAAAAATGTCTTATCTTTTACAAGGGCCTTTGGGAAAAATCTCCAGGGACAAACTTCTGATGTCTTCTTTGCAGCCAGTAGCTTGACTGCTGTACTACACTCACTGAATGAAGTGATGGAAAATATTGAAGTTTATCATGAGTTTTGGTTTGAGGAAGCCACAAATTTGGCAACCAAACTTGATATTCAAATGAAACTCCCTGGAAAATTTCGTAGGGCTTACAGAGGTGTGACTTACCCAATCCTGACACACTCTCAGCTGAACTTCATTGTTGGAGAATCAAATGGAAACACAGAGGGAAAGACATAGAGCTTCCATCCACCATTTATGAAGCCCTCCATCTGCCTGACATCAAGTTTTTTCCTAATGTGTATGCCTTACTGAAAGTCCTGTGTATTCTTCCTGTGATGAAAGTTGAGAATGAGCGCTATGAAAATGGACGACTGACACACTCTCAGCTGAACTTCATTGTTGGAGAATCAAATGGAAACACAGAGGGAAAGACATAGAGCTTCCATCCACCATTTATGAAGCCCTCCATCTGCCTGACATCAAGTTTTTTCCTAATGTGTATGCCTTACTGAAAGTCCTGTGTATTCTTCCTGTGATGAAAGTTGAGAATGAGCGCTATGAAAATGGACGAAAGCGTCTCAAAGCATACTTGAGGAACACTTTGACAGACCAAAGGTCAAGTAACTTGGCTTTGCTTAACATAAATTTTGATATAAAACATGATCTGGACTTAATGGTGGACACATATATCAAACTATATACAACCAAATCAGAGCTTCCTACAGATAATTCAGAAACTGTTGAAAATACCTAAGAGACTTCTAAAGTGGGCTTTTTCTTATATTTGATATTTGAAAGAAAAGCTATAAGGGGTGTATTTAGGCCATCTAATCACTGAATATGCTATCCTATAGGCCTATCATTGAATATATTAGCCATTGATAATCTCCATATTTAAATGGCCCCGCTGAACTCTCATGCACTGAGACCTGTCCGTTCTTCCAGAAGATAACATTGTAAGTGCCACTCTTCACTTTGGTGTGACCTCTGCTGGTGGCACTATGGAATTATTTTAATTAAGTCATTTTAGATGACACACTGTCATTGTCTATCCGCTTTCAAGTATTGAGTTGTCAGTTTTTGCAGAAATGAATTTTGAGGTAGTGTGGAAGAAAGGAATGAGTCTTATAAAATGTTATGGTGAAGGCCATCATTGTCCTGTGATTAGTAGGAGTTTTAAGTGTGTTATTAAAAGTCTGTTGGACAGTTAAGGGAATTTCTAAAGAGAAGTTTATCAGCTCACCAGATTTCAATGTAGATTTTGTCTTTATTAAATGAACTTAAAGGAAGAGGCTACAGTTAAAGCTTGAATGGAAAAGCTTACCATTATTCCACATCTGATTATTGCTGTTTACATTCCTTTGTGGAGCCTTCATCTTCATAAGATTCTTAGCAGGTAAATATTGAACACTTCTGCTTCATCATCGAGGCAGAATCAGAGGCCATCCATACAGGCAACTGACTTGTCTGTTTTCTTCTATCTTTTTCCATGACTTTTACCTACTGCCTCGTCTTGATTTATAAGCAAAACCCGAAAACCTACAAAATGAATGTTTTGTGGTTTATCTAGAAATAATATAGAAAATATTGCTGTTATTTTTGGTGAAGAAAATTTTGTATAGTTTATTTCAGTCTAAATAAAATGTGAATTTTGTTTAAAGTTCAAGTACATTTATTTTTAGTGGAGTCAAAGCATTCTAACTGAATACTCTTAAATTTTTATTTAGTAATCAGCTTTACAATTTTCTTAATTCAAGATGACTTGTGGAGATTTTGGCTTTTATTTCTTTTGGTATGTGGTTTACTACTTGAGGTATAGGAAAAGATTTTAATTAAGACTAAGAAATTGCTAAATGCATGACTTAACTGGTTTTTAAAATAATACATATTGTACTGTGTGGCTTGTGGTATAATTTTTCAGGGTTTACGTTATTGCTGGTTAAAAGGTAAATGAATTAATTCAGAGCTGCCATTAGATTATTTTGTGTTGGAGTATCACTTGAGCTTCAGAAAGCAGAGGGTACATTTGCTGGAGCCCTGGGTCTTAATGATGGCGTACAGTGCACTGCTCTGCCATTGGCAAGTCCAGTGAATATATCAATTCAGAACACATTACCGATGGAGAATTTTTTAAAAAAGGTAACAGAAGCTTCTGTCCTTGGCAGAAACAACTGATCAAGTTCATGGTGGCAGTATAATAGTGATTGACACAGAGCTGGTCCATTGGTACTTTATCCAGTAGTTAGGGCCACTTGAAAATGGTGTGTACATAGCAGATTATTTAGCCTCAGTCAATTTCAGCTGTTTAACCTACCTTAAGGTTGTACTATGAGGGTTAGATAATTTGTCATCAATAACCTTTTGCTTCTTTAATAATACTCCCAAACTTACTGGCTCAAAGAAACATTTTATCATTTCTCTCAGTTTATTTGGTTGGGTAGGTGATTCTTTTGTTAGTCTCACTTGAGTTTTCTGCATTTGGCTGGCAGATTGGCTGGGAGTGTGGGTAGCTTGGATTCTTTATCTTGGGTTTGTGTCATGGTGATCCTAGAGTACCATGAAGTCAAAGAGAATGCCTTCAAGACCTGAGCCTAAGAACTCCCCAGAACGTCACTTTACCATAGTCTTGTCAAAGCAAGTTTCTTGGCCAGCCTGGATTCAGGAGATTAAGAAATAGACTCTTTGATGAAAGAGTGTAAAATATGACCTTGTGTTCAGTCCATCACAATCAGGTGCCCAAAAACATTTATTCAGCAGGTATTAGTTCAGCCTTTAAGGTGCCCATCATTTGTATTTATAACTGTGTATATTGTCTAGTTTGGGAATCTGTTGAAAGCTTAAATGCTCTTAATTTGTTAAAAGGCATTTTTGCAACCTGATCCTTGATAATTTCAGTGGTAGTCTAAGATGAAACAGAGATTGTCTTTTGTAAGATTAGATGGTTGGAAACTTGTAGTTATACTGACTATTCATTGTTCACAAGCATTAATTGAATGCTTGCTATTTGCCAGGCATCTCAACTAAGTGTTGGCAATTCTAAATGTACTTTTTGCCTCAAAAGAGCATACAGCTAAGAATTGGCTCATAGATTTCATCAAAATCAAAGGAAAAAAAAAAGTGTCTATGAAAGACTTGTGCAGTTAAATAAAAGAAAAAAAATGTACTGTAGCACATCTAAACAGTTTGCAAAATGTAATTAAAGGAATTGAAGGCTAGTGTAGGCAAAGGATATGATGTATGTAAAATAAATGAGAACAAAACCTTTAATCACCATTTTATGTAATTTTCAGTTAATTCTTAGGATAACTAGTGGGATAAATAAATTAAGTCGAACCCTTCTCTGGAGGCCAGCTCTTCTCTAGTAACTTAGCTGGATGTGATTTATTTTTGTTTCATTTTACAGCAGTCGCTTTTTAAGTGCTATTTAAAATGAGTAATTCATAAAACAGGAAAATTATACTTGCAGCATTTGTTAATATTTTTATGATATTTTAGAAAGTTTACAGAGCACCTTGATTATTCAAGTTCTCAGAAAAACTCATGCAGGTATTACCCCATTTTTCAGCTAAGAAATCAAGTTCACAGAGGTAAATGAATTGCCTCAAATTATATAGTTAATAAATGCCAGAGCCAGGTACTTCAATACAGGGCTTCAATCTTAAAATTGATTGTGAAAGCTGCTTCATTCTTAAGGTTTGTAAAAGAAATATTTGCTTTGGGAATTAACCTCTTTTATATTCTTGCTTTATCCATTGCCAGCTTTCAGCACAGCATCTAAAATGTACTCATTATACTTGACATGAGTTCCTTGCAAAAAAAAACACAAAACCTTGGACCCTGAAACTTTACAAACTGTGTGTAGAAATGCCACCTTTGTGTGGCTGCCAAGACACTACCACAAAGGACTATAGGTCCAGGTTCCTTTATTTCATGAGTTGGTGCAGCTGTCTTCTTGACATGATCAAATGTTCCTCTGCAGCCAGCTTTTGGTAGCCTGAAAAAGCAAAGTGATTTTTAGTACAGATTAACATAAAAATATCTGCTAGCTCAGTTTCAGGAAACAATTACGAGCTTAGAAACAACAATAAATGTGTCTATATGTTGCCTTTCGTGGTAGTGGGTTTCTGTACTTTTTTTTTAATGTCCTTTATTTCTTGCCAGCGATGCTATATAAATAGAACACACTACCTGCCACTGTATTTGGTTCCATAAATTATTTGGACAGAGTGAACAACATACTTCAAAACTAAGTAGAGGTAGTAAATCTGCCCCTTTTTAATGAGCTTAAATTTACAGTAGTAGTTTTAAACATCTGGAAGTTTAAACCCTTAATTCATTCCAAATGTTTAACAAGGATATACTGCAAAAGAGGATATTGTAATTGCAGGATCAAGAAAACTATTGACTCAATGTGAGGCGTTTCTATTTTGCTGAATATACATTAATCACGTAAAACTTAAGCTGACAGTTCAAAAAGAGGAGATCCAAATATCCATGTTGGCATATTTATATGAACAACTTTTAACAGTATAGTTACGAAAGAGTAAAGTTTACTGTTAGTATCTAGGATGTAGTGAGATAGGGCTGTTTTTCTGTGATCTGTATTCCCTTTTTACAGATGTAAGGAGGTTTTTAAAAGTTATTAAAATCAGAGTTAGAAGAGTCAGAACGACTTCTAAATTGTGATTTTGATTAATGCATCTTGTAATCCAAGAATCTGATTTCCAGCAAGCTACTAGCTTAAGACTAAGCATATATGAAATACACACTTTGCAAGTCTCTGCTGGATACCTGGAGGTGGGGGGTTTTGTTTTTCTTTACTGCAGATCAGGATGCGAAGCAGGAGTACTGTCTACAGAAACAGCTGTTAAGAGTGCTTAGTTGTACAAGGTATGTGGTGAAGCACTTCACCTGTCCTGTCTCATTTGAGCCTCTTTATCCCTAAGAATAAGAGACTCATTACCATTTTCAGGTGAACATGTAAGAATCAGAAGGTCACAGCTTTCACACTAGTCAAAGATGGAATCAGGATTCCAACGTGATGTAAAGATTCACAAATCAAATGTGTTGTCTTTTGCATTTGCTTTTCATTTCAATTTCATAGATGTGGAAAGCTGTGGTGCTCAATCTATATAACATCAAACACAAAACTAGATGTGGATACAAAGATGAATGAAATAGAGCCCGTGCCATGGACATAAACGTCAGTAAGGTGGAGTCCAGGCCCTAAGCAAGCTGAGTTACCTGGGGGAACCAGATATATAAGACAAAGACTGCCAGAAGCCAGGCTAAAGGAAGGTAAACTATATAATTGATCATCCTAACTAGATTTTCTTTCAGAGTGTTAAGTGGGCAGTATTAATAGTTATGCCAGAACAACACATAACCTGGGAGTATCCAGAGCATACCAGGACATATAGTTGTCATAGCTAGATGACACCCAAGGGTGTACAGGGAGTCCAAAAGGGAGGGCCCCAGACAACCAAAGGCAGTGATCTAGGTAAACCCAGAATGTGGCACATTGCCTCACACCTTGATCTCAATATAGATGTCATTGCTGGGCATCTTGCCATCCCTGCAATTTGGGCCGAGTACCTCATATGTACTCCCAGGTTTGCCTAGTCTGCTGGATATAAGCGCTATAACAATTTACGTAGTTCTGCTGTGGCTACCAGTTTGAAGTTCAGAGTAATAGCATTGAAAGTCAGAGGGATGACTACCTTTTGTAGAAACCTATAAAAACAAAGATTTGGCCTCCTTCATATGTTATCTCATTAAATTAACGAAGGTGCTATGTAAATCTAAGTCAGATTCATCATTGTCAATATAGGTCAGGTTGGAATAGGCTTGAATCCCTGAGAAATTGACATTTGCTAGTAAATGGACCTTTGAAAATGGTACATACTGTGGGACTTCATGACTTCACATATCTTTAAGTTAGTCTCTTGTTTCCTTCTCAATGAAATTGTGGCTCTTGGCATTAGAAGGGTACCCATGTAATACGTGATTAATTTCCCTCAAAAAGCCAGTCTATTATGACACTTAGTATGCTATTTCAGTTGTTTAAGTTTCCTAATTAACCCGTAATACTTCCTCCTCATGCCATTATTACATATAGCTGTAAATTTTGTGTGGTAGTAGAGTTTTAGAGCTACAAGGAGCCTTGGGGATTATATAGACAACCTCTCATTTTGCAGAGGACTGGAGCAGACAGCTTACTCAGGATCACACCAGTCAGTGGTGGCAGAGGCCAAGAGTGACCAGAAGGGTCCGGTGCTATGCTCTGTCATCCATGCAGATGTAACTGAAGAAGGAAAACCTGAAAGAATCATTTCTTGGCAGGTGAGTAGTGTCTGTCTTTTAAACTGTTATTAATCTAAATAGTAATTCTGTAAGTATGTAGCTTTATAGGAGACATTTATTAAACAGGCCAGGGTCTGGGGTTAGTTGGCACATTTCTGGGCTTTATTACCATAAAATTTTGGTTTTAAAAATACTTGGTACTGCTTACATCTTATTTGGCAGATTCCTCCTCTTGGTATGATTATTTTTCCTTAAAATGGTACCTATGATTAGATGTAGTTATGCAAAGCTTTTTTTCC